ATCTGGCTCTTGAAACTGGTACGCAATGTCCACGTTTCTTCGAAGCTGACATATTACGGAAATGCCCGGTTACTGTGGGGGCACGCGGTAGTGTAGCTGATAGCGGGTTTGAATCCCGATGAGGTAATTGGATTTTTGACTTGACCTAATCCTTCCAGTAGCACTGTGGCCCTGGGGTCGACTCAGCCTCTAAGAGAAATGAGTACCAGGAATCTTCCTGGGGGGCAAAGGGCGGCCGGTGAGTAAGGCTGACACTGTCACCGTCATCTGTGAATTGCTTCTATGAGAGCCTCGACGTCTCACAACCCTCTGGGCCTCCATGGTCCGTTACAGGGATAGCTTTACCTTTTTTTCCTTACACAAATTATGATAAAACTCTGGGAATTAAACATGTCGAAGCGTTAATTAAATAAACAAGTAAAGAGGTCGTGTTTCAACTGATGGTGTTTTGATAATGTTTAAGAATAATTAGTACTACTTAATTTCCAGTCTATGTTATGCATTTCCATGCGGTGTCAATCAGCCGTTTTTAATATTTCATAACAACTATGAAACTCATAATTATCAGCTGTTTTACTGTTCCAGTTTTGTGGGGTGGGCCCCCCGGTCCCTTCCAATTTGGAATTGAATTCTGAATGTATTAATGTTTAAACATCTGGAAGGACTCTGTGAACGGGACCTATGCCTACACAGTACAACATGAACACAGAAGATCAGCAGACAAATATTCATACCATGACTGGGATTCGAATCCACGATCTCAATGTTCGAGAGGGTAAAGACATTCCGTGTCTAAAACCGCGTGGCTTATGAGGTCGGCTGCAATTAAGATTAAAATTAATAAATATCTGTTCGTATGACACTTGTAGCTAGCTCCGGAGACGCCGAGCATGTCAAATACACGGCAGGCAATGGATATGCGGGAGTCCTCCCGCACCTGCATGCCTTAACAACAATGGGGTCACGTGTTTCCGCCCGCCAGTCAGGTTGTGTATGAACCTCCACCTGTCTGCCAGACAAAGAAGGGCAAGCTTCTAGCATCTAGTCAGTCCTTCTAGGAGTCTAGACGGAGGACGGCGCCACGAAGAAAGTGTGTAGTCAGAACCATCCTGGCCAAGATACTGGACTCGGGAGAGCGACTTGTAAACGGGGTTTGGATTGGTGAATGGATTTATTGACCATTTGGAGGTCGTAACTACAAATAACAATAGCACTATCGCTATTTCCACACTTTACAAAATCACGCTCTTTCCCAGCCCACAGTGTCGCCACTAGCATTTGCCTTGTAACGGCTTCTAACAAAGACTATTGCTCTGCTGTCGGATTCCAGTCTTCTCTGAATGGCGACTCCATTCCAACTGTCGGCACCGTTTCTAACAGAACCTCTATTGTTACATATGTATCCATTTCCGTGGGAACGTGTTTGCTAAGCCGTTGCCTAGAACCGGCTTTTACTTCCAGAGATGCCTCTGCCTTCAGGCTGTGTACTCACCATAGACTCGCATATCCGCGGAGTGGCTGACCTCTCCTACGCGATTGGTCGCTGTGCACCGGTAGATCCCGCCGTCTTCAACCTGAACGTTGCTGATGTTTACATGACTGATGACGTCACCATGAAGAGTTACATACTGACCAATAACAAACCTGCGGAGAAGAAAACTACAGACCAGAGAAAAATCTTGTCCCTATAGGGACTCGAACTGCGACCCCTCCGCAATCCAGCCCGTAGCCAATCGCGTTATCCCGGCTCTGAATATGTGTTTACAAGACATTATACAGGTTTCGACATCATGTTGAAATCATTCACTGGCTATCGCAATTAAACTTTATCCCACACAAGGTATGAATGTTTGGTATGTGTATGCGTTTATTCTGTGTTTAGGTAGAGGCCTTGCGACGAGCTGATCACCTGTCCAAGGAGGCCTACGTCTGCAAAGATGATCAGTGAAACTCAAAAATCTGCCCTATGCTCCAAAGTGGGAGCGAGAGGAAACAAAATTGACCACAAGTTGCATATATTTCGTAGTTCTATCACCAAACAATGCTTCATAGAGCGACACCAATTTCTCTCCACTTTCACAAATTCGCATTGTCGCCATGTTGATACTGTTATTACCGCGGAGTGCAGTTTCACGACGGACGGACAGACAGACACATGTATCTCCGCGTTACGTCCCTCGGAAGGAACATTTCGTCTGAAGTTCAGGTTTCAAAGAACGGGAGTCTCTGCTCGTAGCTACCTGTCGCTTTGCGGCAGCGGGAAGCCGTCCAGATGCCACGTGATATGAGGCGTTGGGTTGCCAGTCGCGATGCATTTGAGAGACACGGGAGGTCCTGGCTGCATCGTCTGGTAGATGAACTTGTACAGAAGTTGAGGATGTGCAGCTGCAATGCAAGATATAGTCCGTTTGGAAATGTATTGCTAACAACTGCCACACAGTCATTCGTGCAGGCCGCAGGAAAGACCACAACACATGACCACAGGAAGAATCCCGAGAAAAACAAGAAAGCATATTGGCAACACAAAACAAAAGGAATACAACACAGAGCAAAAGGAGGAAATACATATACACCTTTTAACATATAACTCAAATTTAATTCCAATTAGAATATCTTAATATTCTTAAAAATTTTAATTTTAATATTTTTATTTTTAAGGACTGCATCCTGTTGCGTTATACAATGAACATATATAATTTTTATCGCTTACGCAACAATACTTTATTATTTATTTATATAGCATGCACTACATGTACAGATCGTGTACTCTACCCTTACAGACAACTGGACAGGCTGACAAAACTTTTTATTTTACAATGAACGAGTTGTACGTATAATACAACAGTCTGTTGCACCTGCTGAAGCTGGTTCGCTCGCAGATTTCTTCTTTTCTACCCTGAAGATGGAGGCAATACGTTCCTCCGAAACGTCGGTTAACACAATTTGTATACGGCGCCACATCCCAGAAGACGGCTTTCTTAAAATTATACACTGCTTTACATTGCATTCGCCGACACATCGTGTTTCGAGCACAAAGGCACAGACTAACATAAAATACGATCGTACGTCGGGGAAACACAAGAAAAAGGTCCCGAGGAATATCCTGAGATGATCATTATGCCACCCAGAGTGCTACGTACGCGATGCACGCTACATACGCTGTGTTCGCTACACGAACAGAAAAATATCTCCCTTTATTGCCAATGTGACTGGCTACACAGACTTCCGTACGCTACGTACTCATGTTCCCTATGTTAGCTGTGTCGCAGAGTGTACACAGCGTACGTAGCGTACGTGGCGAACATAGCGTAGCGCTCTGTGTGGCCAAACCTTTATTCCGCGCCGCATAATACACTGCAAAGAAGAGCTGAACGCTGTGTACTCATGCAGCAGACAAATGAAAATTGGTCGGCCCCTCCAGTCGCGATACCCCGCAACACATAAAGAATGCTACGTATGTTGTGGCATATTTGCTCAAAGGAAGAACCGTGGAACCAGAGAAACAGCAATTGCTAGGTAACGGCTGTGTAACACTCAACAGTGGAGTAAATGGTGAGAGCGACGTTTTCTGTGCGGTCCGTGCCGAGGCCATATAAAAAGGACCGGCTTCCATCGTTCAAGTGACTAGACTGCCGTTGTAACGAAAGCTACTAAAAACGGGGCAAAATCTGCTGTATTGATTCTGGACTGACAGATGGCCTGTATATATTGTATATATATTTTTACAATATTTAACATGTAAATGTAAACACCATTTACGTTATGACAAATTACTTACTACTGTAGACAATGTCTCTGACAAAAGACAGATCCGTCCTCTCGTCAGAGAGGGCGCCCCCAAATAACAAGACTGTAACTGTATTAGATTCGATACCAAGACTGACTGACCGTCAGTCGCAATGTGACTTTGACTTTGATTTAATAGACAATCTTGATATGGCAGTTAGGAGGACAGGAAATTGGTGTGAGATGGCCTTCAGCATGCGAGAACGTAATACCGGGAGCAGAGGATAGTCTCAGTTGGAAGCCGCTACCAAACAACGTGAATGAGAACACCATTTTCTGTGTGACAGTGATTTTAAAGACCAGTCACTATTTTCGTGTACAAGAGTCCAACAAATCCGATATCCAGTCCAAATCCCGTTTACAGTCACTCTATCACGTGACAACATAAACTCGAAGCTGAGGGTGAAACATGCTAATTAACGTAAGCAAGAAATGACTCCTGCAATATTTATTGGGGCAGAAACCAGAACGCATGGTTACGAACCTCAAGTTACAGCAAGTGTCGGGACCTAGTCCTTACAGATTGTAGGAACGGAAGGATTGCACGGATTATCTAGAAATAAATTGAATTGCCACTCATGGTGCCAGTGTATAGGTAAATAAACATATTGTAAGGTAATTCGACAGTGAAAAATTTGTCCGAAACTTTTAAAATGTCACCGTTTTAATCACAGTCTAGGATTGCCCAAGTAAGTGAGCAGATTTTAAACATTTTGGACAAGCTGTATGCAGTCCCCTAAAATTGCTCGTGCTTTAGAAAATGTTTGCTGTGAACTGGGGTTGCAGTTTCAAGTAATTTTGAGACATACGGGGCTATGTGGAGATCATAAGAAGCTTTTGATGTACGTCACGGGGGAAGAGAGAGTGGGGAAAACTGTGGACGTTTCAATGCAGGCAATTAGGGGATTAAGGGACTTTACTGGAAATGTTCAGGCTGTAACTGAAACCTTGAAAACTCTTCCAAGAACAGTTTCAGTGTTGAAGAAAGCAGTCTTCTGGGATTTGGCACCGTGTATATGTGGTGTTAACCGACGTTTCGGAGGAACGTATCGCCCCCATCTTCAGGGTTGAAGAAAAAGTATAAGTAAATCTGCAAGCGACAACACCGTGAGACACGGTGCCAAATCCCAGAAGACTGCTTTCTTCATAGTCACCGCCGTGAAAGCCTCAAATCTTACAGTTTCAGTGTTGTCTCCTTCTAGAGCTGAGAGCGAAGGCGGGCACGGCAGCTCATGTGCTCGTTTCCAACCCATCCAGCATTTGTTTAGAAACTCCAGTGGCCCAACCAGAGACGTGTGCAAATTGCTGTGCATATTTTAGGTTAAGGGAACTTTCGAGTAACGAACAGAGCAATTCCGGTTTCTCTCGTCGACCCCTTTGAAACGTGTTTCTATAAAAACAAAGGTAACAAAAAGGTATTTTCTAAATTCTAAATTAATATGATTAGGCTCAGAGTTGCTGGGTTTTGGGGATCCATCCATCCTCCGTATTCTAGAGACTAGAAAACACAAACGTTTCGGAAAGTGGATCTCTTTCCGCCCTCAGGCCCAGGTCCAGGCCCAGTGATTGAGGTTTGCTCTTTCTAAGGGACACAGCTGAGTAGGTGTCTCCCCCACATCTCACCTGAGGACGGAAACGCTGCGTTTTCTAGTTACTAGAATACCAGACTATGGACTAAGTGCGAAAATCCAAGCGTCACAAGCCTTTAGAATCTTGCACGATTAGGGTGTTGCATAATTGTGTTGGAACTAACTTTCTTGCGCACGTCTGTACTGGACTTGCTCCTGCAAATGCTCATAACAGCTGGCCAAATTATATATTTAAAATAAATATTCCAATACTACCCCAGCTTAGATCAGATTTAAAATAATTTTTTTTTCTATTACCTACGAGTACATTACTGAAACTTAATGATGTCCCTTTAACAGGCCGCGGACGCCGGTAAGGTTGAGTCGTCGAGGCTCCCGCAATTTCTGTACAATCGCCTCATAGGTAGCGATGAGGTTGCCACTGTACTACAGCACACATAAATTCTTCAAATCACATGCTAAGTTTTCTCTGTGCATGCTGACTGAAGCCTCAACTGAACTGCAGACTGACGTCTCTAAATTCAATTGCCTTTAAAAGTCTGAGTCTGAGTCACACGTCACGACCGACAGCCATTAGGCCACTCTGTCTTGGAACAAAGCACCCGTCTGGGGCTTACGACTACATTTTTATTACTGTCAGACATTTGTGGGTTTGTTGAGGTGCGGCGCTCTCTCTAATGCGAGGACAGGTCTGTCTTTTGTACATGCTGCTGGCCCTTGCCAGCGCAGTCTTTCTCGGATCTGAGTCCCGTGGGACTCGCGACTATATTTTACACTCTTAGATTCGAGACTTCCATTTTCATCGCCTCTTTTGACTAGCAGGGTTACGGTGGAGGTATTCGACCCCGCCTCCACACGGGTATGCTTCAAGTGACTTTGCTTTTACTTTTTATAAACTTTAGGCACGGACCGCACAGAAAACACAGCTCTTCTATTGTTGTGTATATTTGTTTAAACGGAAACGCGTTTACTCAACTGTTTCACAGGAACGGCTGTGCACTTCACATATCGTGACACCTCCTCTATTGTTGCATGCAGGTGTTGCCTAGCAGCGGCTGTTTCTCTGCGTTCACAGTTCTTGCTTTGAGCTGCCTTTCATGCAGACTCACTAGCGATACTCGATCTAGGTTGAAAGTAATCAATTCTGTCGCCGGCATAAGGAAGAGATTGAACAGAAGAGTGTTGTAGATTACAAAGCACGGTTTCTGAGAAAGTGGAAGGGACTGCAGACGTAAGCATATTACGTACCTTGTTGAATTATTTATTGCGCATTTTCTTAAGACTCAAGCAGAAAGTTTTATATGGTCTGGAGATTGAAATTTCTAGACGAGCTCTTCATGCAGGATACGACGAAGTTGTGCTCTGGTCTCAAGGAAGGCCGGGGACTTTCAATAAGTCACCAAAGTGTGCAGCATATAGTTTCGTATCAACATTACTGATTTCAAACAGCATAACTTTCTGTTCGAAACGATGGGAGAGGCCTCCATGTTGGTATCTCGCGGATCTGAACTGCTGCATTTCAAGACCTTGCAGTGGCGCACTCTGTTCACATCTCCGTTAAATGAAGGGTCTGTCGGAAGTGAAGGACAACAAAAGCGGACTTTCTCCGAGCGGATTTAATATCCGGGGGCTGTCTGGTTCGAACACTGGGCGAGCTGAGGTTCGGTTGCCTATTGTAGTCCCTGAGATATTTTATTACACTACAGTTTCTTATTCCTGGTACTCATTTCTGTTAGAGGCTGAGTAAACCCCAGGGCCTAGTGCGTCTGGAAAGATTAGGTCAACTGAAAAGAATCCAATGACCTCATCGGACTTGAACCCGCGACCTTCCGGCTTGTTAACTAAATAATTTTTCTGGGGAGTAAAGCGCGGCCGGCGCGTAAGGCTGACAACCTTACCGCCATCTTTGAGCCGATTGTCAAGGTAATGTGGGACCCTTAACGTCTCACAACCCTATGGGCCTTCACGGCCTGGTACAGGGGTAGCTTTACTTTTTACAGTTTCTTATAACGTTCTTGAGATCTAATATTTATTATCATTCTGTTATATATACACAGTGTGCGACAAGTTAATTCCCGGAATGGCCGCAGCGTGTCGCTGGGGTGTTGAGTCAGACAAATGAGTAGTTCATTCCCAAGCCGCGGTATAATGTTGGCGGGAAAATGATTGACAATAATCTTGAACAGCGGATAAACATTAAGTTTTGTGTGGAGATTGGTAGAAGTGATGGTGAAACGTTAGCCCTATTAGCAGTGGCTTATGGTGAATACGCTATGAAATAATCGAGTGTTTATGAGTGGCACAGGCGGCTCAAGGAAGGGCGAGATGTGCTAGATGGCCCAAGAAGTGGGCAGCCAAACACTCAAAGGCCAGATGCAAATGTGGACCGAAAACGAACCTTGGTGCGCTCAGATCGACGATAAGGTGAGAGTAGTAGCAGAAGAATGTGATATGGTGATAACAATAATAATAATAATAAAGCTACTATCCCTGTAACAGGCCGTGGAGGCCCAGAAGGTTGTGAGATGTTGAGGCTCCACATTTTCTGGACAGTCTGTTCACAGATGGCTGTGAGTTTGTCAGCCTTACGCGCCGGCTGCCCTTTACCCCCGGGACTTTTTTGGTACTCATTTCTGTTAGAAACTGAGCCGACTCCAGGGCCATAGTGCGGCTGGAAGGTTTAGATAAATTGGAAAAGTCCACTTCATGGGGAATCTAACCTGCGACCTTCCGGCTTGTAGCACAGTGCCCCAGAGGAGGCGAAGTGTTCACGGAGAAGCACTGCAGCACCAAGAAGGCGCAAGCTACGAGAGACTAGACCCTGTTGCACTGTGTACACACACACTTCCGTCTCCCTTGCAACTCACTCTGAAAGTTTTACATTCAAAATTTCAGTTTTCAGAGCTCATAACTCTTCCAGGTTGTATATCTTTGTCACGTCAGGCGCGTTAAATCTGTTTCGGCGAAACTGCTGCAACTCGGTCCTTAATTTTATTTAATCTTAAATTTGATGGAAAATTTACTTATTTTTTTTGGTGGGGGGGTGTTGGTAACTGGTATACATTTTCTTTCTACGCGTATTCGCGTACGCAGTGCCGTGTATACTTGGTGTGTGAACTGTGACAAATAAAGACATAAAACCTGGAAAATTTCAATTTTGAATTTTAGAATTTTGTAGGCAAGAGGTAGGGGCAAGAGGTAGCGTAGTTTGTTGAGGCATTAGCTACAAGCCCTCGGGTTGCGAGTTCGATTCCCGATCAGGTAATTGGTTTCATCAATTGAACTAATCCTTCCAGCAGCACTATGGCCCTGGAGTCAACTCAGCCTCTAACAGAAATGAGTACCAGGAATCTTTCTGGAGGTAAAGGGAGGCCGGCGCATATGGCTGATAACGTCGACGCCTCAGAAACCTATGAGCCTCCACGGTCCGCTACAGGGATAGTTTAATGCGATTTCAGCAGTGCGGTGACTCACCTCCCAATCGCAGCTGCACAGAGCTCTGCGCGCTGTCGTCCTCACTGCGTACCAGACACTGGTACATGCCAGCGTCCTCCCTCTGCACCTTCTCGAGGACGAGAGCCTCCCCTCCAGGACCAACGACGTGTCCATCCTTCAGCCAGGTTCGCGTGGCAGGAAGGTGAGGGGAGGACCCACTGACGTGGCAAGTGAGTGTTGCTTTGCCTCCTACATCCACGGTGAGCTGCCCCGACGGTTGTATGACAACGTTTAGAGGCGACGTGACGTGTAGGACGACGTCCATGCGTTCCACCCCTGCGGTGTTGTTGGCCACACATACCCACCGCCCAGCGTCACTCTCCACAACGTGCTGGATAATCAGGCATTCCCCTGCTCTGTATATGCGGTCGTCTGCTTCTGCAAGGGCGCGCAGCTGGTGATGGTCTTGGCGAAACCACCTGCAATACAGAGTGACTGGCTTCAGAATCCTCGAGTTGCATGGCCATGACTTTTGTTCTCTCTCCTACATGTACGTGTTTAGAAATGGGGCCTCCTTTTCGACTAGGGATGGGGTACCTGTTTCGAAATGGGGCCTCCTCTTGGATGACGGAGGGGGTATGTGTTTAGAAATGGGGCCTCCTATTCGAAGAGAATGGGGGTATGTGTTTCGAAATGGGGCCTCCTATTCGAAGAGAATGGGGGTATGTGTTTCGAAATGGGGCCTCCTCTTGGACAGAAGAGAGGGGTACGTGTTCCAAAATGAGGTCTCCTATTTGACTAGGGGAGAGGTCGGTATTTCTATGAAGGCGCCACGTTTGTTACACCGCAGTATCAGCACGAATATATCCGCGCTGTCACGGCGTCCA